ACAGAAATAAAAGGCAAGAAGTCATTCTGCTTAAAATGTATATTTTGAATGAACAATTCCCATTAAGTGGAAAATGACAGTGTTTTGCCAATTTATAGCATTATTTCCACTCTGATAATCCCACTGGCCTGTCTAGTGCAATTATGCTATGTGCACTGACTCACTTCTGGTATGCCTTTCCCTTTAACATATTTGTCATAGGTCTTATGATTATGTTTAGCTTTGTTTTCAAATAAGAACTATTGACTGCTAGTAAGTTTTAAGCTCTACAACAGAACTACTTTCAATTTTACAAATGAGAAAAATTCATGCAAAATCCATTGTAAACAGTAAACATTGCAAGTTTTATGTAAAGAATCTTTTTTATTAAAAGAGGCTGAAACTGTGCCATGATAAAATGAAAATCACGAGTAGTCTAGTAAATAAACATGGGGGAACTAACCTTAATTGCAGCTTCTCTCAAGGCTTCCAGTCTCTGTCTACTGCTTTCTTTCATATTTACAACATCTTTGTAATCACCCTGTAGAGCTCTCTGGAGACCATGGATTGCTTGAAAGACTGAGTTTTCACTTTCATTTAGCTCCTTTTGGAAGATTTCAAAGGTATGAACCTGAAAAAGTTTCTCTTCATCTGATAGTCCAGTATCCTTCTCAACTGCTCTTATGGCATTTTTTAGTTTGTTGAGAACAACGTTCTTCTGGCGAAGAAGACCAGACAGTTTTCTGCAGCTCTCCAACACCCACTGCTTTCTCTGAGCGACAACAGCTCCTTTCCCACGGTGCAGTTTTATTGCATGCTTTACTACATCTTCATGCTCTGCAGGATTTGCTAGCTGGACACAAGGCAATAAAACCAACGTCCATAAGGAAATAAATTCAGTTGCCTTCATTCTTCAATTTTTATTGCTGTTGGGAGAAACTGATAATCCACAACTGCTCAAAGCTTCCTGCTACATGGTTTCTGCATCTCCACTACACATACCAGGCTGCAAAACAGTACCAATCAGTTAACAAACATGATAATGTTGGGGTATTAGACCAAGCAAATGTAGAAATGAAACCCAAGACTGCATCTTGCACTATAATCTTTTAACAGTTCTCAAAACCAAGAAAGAGCCATGGTTATTGGTAGACTTTCATTTTCCTCTTGACTATTGTCTAGATATCATCTTGTCTTAAAAACACAGAATGGAAAGCTTCATTATTTCACATGGTAGTCACCTGCACTTCTTATGAGAAAAAAGCCATAAAAATATTAAGCCACAATGCCATAGGCTATACTTCAACCTAGCTCCAGAACTCATTACTCTTATTTACCTCTTGCGTTCTTTCAAACTGATCCTAAAGAATTATATCATAATCATTTGTTATTTTTATAGCTTCCAAACCATTAACACAGGCAACTATACAAAATATAATGGAAAGAAAGCTTAACTGAAACAGATTACACTGTAAGTTAGACTGGGGGAGGAGGGGAGGAATTTCTACAGTAAAGAAATAATATCAAAACTTCCTGGACTTCTAAGCATTATTAGCCTGGATCAAAGACTTTCACCTGAAAGGCTGCATCACCTTGAGGCATTTTATTTCAAAGCTAATTATTGATCCTCATGATTTTAAAATAGAGGTGTAAGAACACTAAAAGTAAAGTCAATTCATTTGCAAGCTCATTTCTGAGAAGCTACTTGAAGATCTATATTTAAACTGCTGTATTTGCTTCTAACACCAAGCAGGGTAGAATTTCAAAACTAAGAACGAATTTCCTTCCCCCAGAGCCTACAGGAAAACACTGACCTTACTGTATAATAACCAAGTTACATTTTCTTGGGGGGGGGGGGAAACAACAAACAAAACAAACAAACAAACCCCCCAAAAAAACAAACCAAACCAACCAAATACAAAAACCTACAAAAAAAAACAACCCCACATCAGAAAGCTATATTTAACAACACATAAATGTATGCACAAAGCATACATTTATCACTGAAGTGTAGTAGTCTAAAAATGCACAGCACATTACATGTTAGTATATCATCAATAGAGCAGGTATTTGCCTAAAACTTTGGCTGCAATCTTCATCACTGTACCAACAGCCTTCATTAGGAACCCTCATATGGACACAGTATAATCTGGAAGCTATGTATCTATTCTTTTCCTACAATACAGCAGCAGCCGCAGTCACAAGAATCCAAGCTAAGCATCATCAATATACAGAACAGGAAGCGAAGATGGCAAAGCACAGCCATGTACTACCTTAATTTTTAAAATACCCTCCGATCTCTGTTTCAGTCAGAACTGCAAAAAACTGCCTGTAGACGGTTTATTTCTTTTCAATGCATGAAATACAAGCCAAAGCATTTAGTTATCAATAGTTGACTATGGGCTAGGGTTTAACAACATGAAGAACTAAAACATTTAAAATTAAGAACTTAAAGTATGTAGCATAGCTACATCATGCTAATTTCAATAAAATAATAAAGTAGAACTATTTCAGAACTTTGATAAAGCTATAGGGTTTACTGTTTTTAAGAGATCAGGAAAAAGCAACAATTCACACCACCTGGCAAAATTCTAGAGTAATATTTAAGGAAATATTTCTTCGTATATACAAAATAAGAACCTTCCTGTTTAATACGCTTGGGCAAGAGATTCTGCTGAATATATTACAACTTATTCCTGCAAGAAAGAGGGTGAAGAAAATATTTATTGCATATTCAAGTTTCTGTCTGCAGGGAGTTGAATACTCCACTTTCACATATTACATGGTACGGCAAACCACGTACCTAAATCATGAGCAAAGACAGTAGTAAATTCGCCCATTGTTGCACTGTGCAAACTTACCACCGTAGTTCTGCCACGGTATCGTTTTGTTTCAGTAGCAGTGTTTTTTACCTGGCTATCAAAGAACTATTTAGGAAAGTAGCACCTTGGGTAGTGCTCAAAAGCTCTTAAGGGAATAATAACCCCACATATAAAAGCATATGATGCATTTCAGAACTCAAAAATACTGATAGAATAGTCATAATACTATAGAATGGCTTAGCTTGGAAGGAACCTTAAAGATCATCCAGAAGGGAAAAAAAAGAAAAGAGACAAACACTCTTCTCCATGCATCACTAAGTATCAAATTAGAGGGAACTCCTGATGCTGGGAGATCTTCTCAAGAACGGTGTGTCTCCTGATGGACTGCAGTTCATCTTCCCGGTTTTGCCTTCCTGAACACGATACAGTAGCGCCGGATTTCATCAAGCGGATGCTAGACCCTGCCTCCAACGCAAGCCCGATCCTCTCATCCAAAACGCTTGCGGCTCCTTCCCCACCTGCCCGTTTGCCACCACCCAAGCTCCTTCTCAGGTCCCTCAGGGCAGCCGAGGCGCGGGCACCTCTGCCCCAAAGGCACCCACCTGAGAGCGATGGCTGCCGGAGGGCAGCTGCCTACGCCACCGCCTCCTTCTCCTCTTCTCTTCCCGGGCCGGCTTCCGGGACCTCACCCTGAGGAAAGCTGGGGGGAGAAGGGGAAGCACAGGGAAAGATGAGGAGAGCGCGGGTGCGCCCAACCCCTTTCCCGCCCCTTCATGGCGGCGGAGAGAGCGAGGGAGGAAAGGAAAGAAGCAGCCGCTCCGCAGCCTGCCTGCCCGGCGCTCAACTTTCCGGCCTCACAGCAACACGGCCAAATCCACCACCTCCTCCTCCTCCGTCTCCTCCTCGCAGCCCCTACCCGCCGCCGGCAACCGCCCAGCGCTCACCTCAGGGCGGCGGCCGGCCCAGCCGCCAAGGGGAAGGAGACGCTGACGGAGGCGCAACTGCCGGCCCCGGGCGGTGTTTCCTCCCTCCGCCCCGCTCACCTGAGGGAGGGAGGGAGGCCGGCAGCAGCCAGGTGGGCGCTCGAAGAGCAAGAGCGCAGGGCGGCGGCCAGTAACAGAAGGCGCCGAGAACCCGTCCTTGCCAGCGGCCTCTCCCAGCCCCGCACCGGCCGCCAGCCCTCACCCTGCGCCGGCCACCACGCAGCCGGTGCGGCGGCACCTTTAAGCGCAGCGTCAGACGGGATCTGTAGTCCGAGCGCCTCCTCGCGGCATGTCATGGGAAACGTAACGGTGGATTCTCCCCCTTCCCTGACGCGTTCCGCCCGCCCCGGACGGTGCACGCCGGCACTCGCCGCTCAGGCGCAGCGCGGCCCAGCTGACACCCGGACCGCCGGTCCCCCGGTGCAGGGAAGGGCCGTGGGCTCCACCGGCGCGGCGGGAGGGCGCCCCCGTCCCGCGCTCCGCCTTTGCGCCTGGTCCCTCGCGCCTGCGCGGGAGGCGGCGCCGGGCGGTGAAGTTGGTCAAAGCGCCGGTGATAAAATGGTACGTTGTTTGGGGCGGGGGGCACGGGAACTGGGGAACGGGGACTCCCAAACAACACTCCCAACTCCTCGGACCGGCGAGCCCCGCGGTTTCCTGCTGTTCCCCCTCCGTCAGCGCGGGCTCCCACTCCGTTTATCGCAGGGGGATGGCGCCAGGCGGGGTTGGGTACACGGGGGTGAGGCGCGACAGAGGACAGACAGATAGGAGCGGAGCGGCCCTCCCGCCGCCGGGACTGGGGAAGGTCACCGGGGGCGGGGGGGGGATTGAGGGGAGGAAGGGAGGCGGGCAGTGCTGCTCCCGCTGCCGCCGACCGCGGGTATTTCGAGCGCCGGCAGCCGGCGCGGCGCGTACCTTTCCCTTTTTTGGGCTTGGGGCCGGAGGGGCAGGTTGCCGGAGCCCCGTGTCCCGCGCTCCCGCCGCCCCGCCTGCCGGCAGCGGGCGGAGCCTGGCCCTCCGATCTCCCCTTTTCCCTGTCCTTCCCTTCTCTTTTCCCGGGACGCGGCAGGTGCAGCTGGAGGTGGAAGGAAAGGTGCAGAGGTACTGGTTCCCTTACCTTGGGGGAGCGGGAGTGTTTGGGGGAGGCGGGTCCAGGAGACCGGGTGGGGGATCAGGGGACGGGCGGACGCGTCGCGTCCCATCCCGGGAAGGGTTCTCCCGGCGCCTCCGCCGTAGGCTGCGCTGTGCCCGCTCCGGCGCTTCGTTGAGGCTTGCGGTGTAGTGTGATTAACGTCTTGAGAGGGCCGTAAAGCTGACCTAGGCGTGCCTGGGTGCGAGGTGTCCCTCCTTGTTTGGGTCCCGTTAACGAGAAGACGCTATAGAAACGTAGGTTCAGCTCCCCACCCCCCGTTCTATAGAGTGTGTGTACGTACCGGTATCTGCTGCGGCGGACATTGCACACAGGCGAAGAGTAGAAACTATACTACGTGGCAGAGTAGTAGATCGGGTAGTCCAATGTGTTTCTTCTAATTCCTTCAGATAACTCAGTGTTTTGAGCCTGGAAAATACCCCTGAATACCTGGTGTTCAGGGCACTTGGGAGAGAGGACGTGGGTTTTGCTTCGCGGGTGCTGTCGGAGACCTTTGTGCTGAAGTGAGCATTGCTCAGTTTATTGCTCAGAATTTTATGTAACTGAGGCGGATCTTAGTGCAGAGACACTCTCATAGTTAGACGCTAATGGATATTGGAAGGGAGAGAGGCTACACAGAGCTTGCAGTCAAGGGATTATTGAATATTTTTCTATCAAGGTAACATTTTTGCAGCTCTTTTCCCACTTCACACATTTCTTCTTGCATAAAAAGAAATTTTACATGTTTTTCTTATATGAAATTAAAAAAATATATAGAAAAGCCCAAAGTCCTTATCTTGTTTACATGATGTGTTTCTTGTCTCAGGACCATCTGTAGTCAAGATGTCACCATCCATATGTGTACAAGAGATAACAAGTAGACTGAAAGATGGTCCCACATTTGCTGCTTACTGTTCACTGAATCAGGATTCCTGTTGTCTTGTTCTCCCTCCCCCCCCCATATTTAAGAGACCAGTAAATATTGTGTAATACCTGATGACTTAACAAGTAATGAGACAAATTTATCTGTTAAATTATTGGCCCAGAACATGTGTTAAGTATGGTTTAACAAAAATGGGATGTATCAGAATATAATAAAACCCAGAGTTTGATTTAAGCTATTTCCTCCTTCCAACTTCATATGAAGAATGTTGATCTGTGTTAATATTGGATCTGCTCCCTGTAAAATCCTTGTTCCTGCCTCTTGAGTGTTCCAGAAGTTTAGTGATGTGTCAGTATGGTTGCTGCAATTAGCTGCCATTAAGAGAAGCATCTTATTGGTTCCTGTATACCACTGTAACAGGTGGTTTTGTTGTTTAATGTATTAATAGTATAAACATCTTTTTCAGTATTAAAGTTTTAGATCCCATTTACAGTGATTTTATAGTCTCATCGAAACATTCAGCAAATCACTGACATGTCTGCTTTATCTGTTTTCTTTTTGCCTAATGTCTTCTGTTGGCAGTGGTTTCTAATGCAAAAGTGTAAGAAACGGTTCTGCCTTTTTTAGTTCATCACTTGAAATGATTAAACTTTGTATTGTTCATTGTTGCTAGAAAAATATTAGGAAAACTGCTAAGCAGTTTTTCTCTATGTATGAAGGAGTTACACAGAATCTGAGAATCTCTGAGTTGTGCCTTTATAATCTCATTTGTATAACCACTAGGCATATTTTTCAGAGGATAACCATACTGTTGCATGGTGAAACTCGTGTTTACCACTGTTTCAGAACAGAAAAACTTCTGCATATGTGAGCAATAAAGCAGAAATATGAATTTATTACTGCCAAACGTGCTGCTAAAAATGTATATATAGATGCTGTCATTTCAATTTTCAGAAGAAAATGCTGTCTTTTTAACTGCAGAAGAACAAGGCTTTGTCTTCCTGTAATTCTGAAGTGAAAGTTGTCATCAACAAGAAAACTAGAACCTTTTAAAGATAGGCCGTAGTAGTAGAATGCTGAAACAAACTTCTGGATTAGCTTCATTGGCTTTCCTGCTTCTTTTGCATCCCAAAGCATAAGCTTAAATCGTCTCAGAAGGACAAGGTCCGCCAGTTTATGGCATTTACCCAGGCTGGTGAAAGGACTGCTATTTACTGCTTAATGCAGAATGAATGGAAACTAGAAGTGGCAACAGACAACTACTTCCAGAACCCAGACTTGTACTACAAAGAATCCATGAAAAACTCGGTAGACAAGAAGAAATTAGAACAATTGTATAATCGATACAAAGGTAAGGCTTGGGGTGTTTTCTGTGGTTTGGTTATGGGGTTTTTTTTCTAATTATTTTCTTTGGGTGATATCTCTGCTTTTCCCTCTGCCATTCTTAAGGATTTATAGGAAAGATTGCTAGGTTTTGCTTCTCACTCTGTGTTTGTGGTAGCGAGGTAAGGATGCAGAAGGTTTTAAATGCTCTTAATGTTCACTACACAACTTCTGTAGATAATCTGTAGAATTGGAAGTAAAATCACAGTAGGAAATTAAACCTATCATGAGAAAATAGTGTCAGCTGTATGTGGTGGGAAATAGAATAAAGCTTATTATGCAAATGATTTGTTGCCTGTGGCTGATATTATAATATATGTACAGTGTACTTTGTGTGGCAAAATAATGCATATTATTCTTACGCTGATATTTGGGGGGGTTCTCTTTGTTCAAAGATAGTCCATCAAAATAAAAAGATGTTTCAGAAAAGCATTACAGCTAGAAGTCTGACAAAACAGGTACAGAATTGCAGAATGGTTTGGGTTGGGAGGGATGTTATAGATGATCTAGTTCCAACCCCCTTGCCACATGGGCACAGACACCTTCCACTAGACCAGTTTGCTCAGAGCCCTGTCCAACCTGGCCTTGAACACTGTTAGGGATGGGAAAGGCGGGGAGTGCTGTCCTGTCTCAGCATGTCAAATAAGAAAACTCAGAAACTGGTCATAGAAACTCCATTCTTACTTTATTCTTTGTGTTGGCATGTTAGAGCAAAAGTAATGTGCCTATCAGAGAGACCTGGAGTGAAAACCACAGGGAAGTGGATTAAAGGCAGAGTTGTTTCTTTTCCATTTTTTCTGTTTTACAGCAGTGTTGAAAAGAACAAAAAAGGGAAAGATAGTAATGGAAATACAAGAATGTATGTGATGTAGGTAATAATGCTTTCTTAAATGTGTTATTCATTGCATGACAGAGCATTGTGGCCTGGAATCATTGCCAGCCCCTGCTGAGATCCGTACATCTCATGTTTTAAAAAAATGAACTCTTAACAATTACTCAACTATGATTTCATGTACTTTTCTAATGGCAGTAGGTAGCTTGCTTTGTATGATAGTGTTTCCACCTTTTTTTTTGTTACACTTTACTACACTTTTAAGTATAGACATTCTTTATTTATCATATGGTAAAGAATTGTCTTGGGGGACACACGCAAACAGACCAAAATGAACAAAGAAAACAAAAAAAATACCAAACAACTAGAGAACCACTTTTTTTTTATTTGGTATAGGGGGATGTGTATATATATACATATATATACATATATATGTAAAAAATATATACGCATAGAAAATGGGTATCTGTCTATCTGTAAATCTTTTGCCTGCTCCTTGCATGTTAGTGCTGCGGACTGCTGGGTCAAAAATATATATAATTTTTTTTTAAATGCTACTAAGAATATACAAAATTTTTTTAATCACAACTTTTATTTATTTTTAAATCAGAAATTTTATTTATTATTAATCATTTTCCAGCAGTGGCAAACTGCACCACTTGACTTCTGTGAAAGGAAATCTAGTCAGTTTTATGTCTGTGTTTTGGTTAGCAGCACACCTTTGCAGTTCTAGCACCTTAATGCTTCAGTAAAATTGCAGACCTGAACAAAACTTTTCATAAAATTTGAGAGAAAAGAGCGAAAGTTTTGATTAAGCACCTTTCCTTCATGCACAGCTTAAACCTGAATCATTGCCCTCAAAACAACAAAGAATTCCTTTGTCCTACTGGGCCCATAGAATGCTACAGACATTAAACTATATTTGAAATCTGAGGTTAGAGGTCTTTAATTGTCTGTGGTTTTATTAGTTTTCTTATCTATTTATCCAGCAACTCTTGTCAAAACAACAGTTTCATTTTTGCTCCTAGTTACCTGGATGAACAACATGACAAGGATAAACCAGTCCTTGTCAAAATCCATGGGTATTTTTTCAAGTGATTTCAGCCCTAGTGCACTTTTTTGCCTTTAGTTCTTCAGTTATCCTCCAAATATACAAGAAATATGTTTTATATGGCTTAGAGCTAGATCTGGCATATAGTAGAAAAGTGTGTTTGCCTGTTATTCCTGCTCAAAGGTCACTCAGTTGTACTATGGTTGTAATTCTGTTTGAATGGGTAAGTCTTTGCTAAATTAACATCCTCTTTGCATTTAGCATTTCTACCACTGTAGTATTGGCTGGAAAAGTGGAAGAAATCTTTGCTTAACAGTGCCCCGCCCCCCCCCCACCCTCCCAAAAAAAAAGTTTTCTTTAGATTTTTTTTTTTTTTTTAATCAACTCATTGGATAATGACTTAAAATAGCATGGTTGAAAAGCTTAAGGAGTTGATTGAAAATGGTTGAAAGGTTTAAGGAGCTAGTCTTAAATTTACTTGAGGGTACTTTTCTGCATAGCCAGTAGTGATACTGAAACGTCTTCCTATCAAAAGCTGGGAAAGAGAGTTTTATAATTTGTAAACTGTCAGCCTGTGAAAACAGTGTGATTTCATTTTTTATTGCTGTTTGGCTTTTCCCTCCCTCCAATTATATAAGTTTATATGCAGGGGCTTTTGTTTGTGGGTTTTTCTTGAGAGAGAATTTTGCTTCAGAATTTTCACAGTGACATTTACCCTGTTGTAGGTAGTTAACGGTGGTTCTTACATTCAAAAAGGTAGTAGTGCTACTGAAACATAGTAGTTTAGCTGAAGTCTGTTGTGCTAAGGCATTGTTTGAGCAATGTTTTGGTGATTTCCCTGACTTAAAACTAAAGCCTATTGGTTGTGGTCTTTAACAGTTCTAGTGGATTCTCAAATATCTCTGTTGGGGGCGGGGGGTGGTGTGGAAATTTGGTAATTCTCACTTGGTAGGTGTGTTCTTGCTGGTTAGGGTTTTTTTGGTTGGTTGATTTGGGGGGTTGTTTTGGGGGGGGTTCTTTCTGTGTTTTGTGGGTTTGGTGATTTTTCGTTGTTGGTTTGGTTTGAAGTTTAAGACGTGCTAAGCAGGAAGTGTATTGTACATTTTGATGTGTTTATCAGCCTTACTGTTTTCAGGCATAGTCAGGCATCTCCTCAGTTAATTCAGATCCTTTATAGAGCATTATGGAGAGAAGACAATATTTCTTCATTGACATTAGCTAATGAATTTAGGAAAAACTGCAAACCAGTTTCTAGGGAAGTGTGCAGAATGCTTAATCTATGCAGATACTCTTCAAGGTTCTTTGATAATTAACTAGGTTTCAAGTGAAGACACTTGTGAAACTTACGAAAAACTGAAGACCTGTGTTAGGCATCATATCACAGCTGTGCAGATGATTATTTGTAAATTTTTTTTTTTTTGCAAGTAATTACAGTTCTTCTCTTTGTACTTTGAACCATAGACCCACAAGATGAAAATAAAATTGGCATTGATGGAATTCAGCAGTTCTGTGACGATTTAAGCCTGGACCCAGCCAGTATCAGTGTCCTAGTTGTAGCATGGAAGTTCAGGGCAGCTACTCAGTGTGAATTCAGTAAAAAGGAATTTGTTGATGGGATGACAGAGTTGGGGTAAGTATCCATTTCTGCATAGTTCATCATGTAAGGCCTGAGCTCTGTTTCTGTTTAAAACATTTTTAATTGAATTAAGTGTGAAGCTTCAAAAATCTGGTAAGGCTGGTGCCATGCTTAACAGATGCTAAATGCCTGTAGTGTCCCATCTTCCTTAAATTAGTGCTTTACTGCAAAGCCTTAATGATGGCCACAGTAAGGGTGTAGCAATATAATTCCTCTCTGTACAGAAAGAAAGGCAGATGGATATGCTGATCTTTTTATGTAATTCATAATAAACATGTGCATGGTTTTGTTAAGGTTTTGAGTTGGACCATGTGGTGCTAAAAGCTGGCAGTCACTGAAGATGCATGAAGGAACATGATGTAACTAATCATTATTTTATATTTTTTTTTCTTCCCGGATCATGAAGCTATTCTGGGTAATAGACTCTGAGGTTAAACCGCGCTGTCTCAGTTTAGCAATAAAGTCAAGCAGTTGTTGCCATGAACAGTATTTTCTGTGTAACTTTTCCTTGGAAGAGATACAGTATTTCTAATATATAGAGAAGTGTCACAATGATACTTTTTTTTTTTTTTAACAGATTGCATTAGATGGAGAATTAAGGTTTATTATTTCTGCATATTGTTTGAGCTAAATAATTTCATTTGCTCTCAAAATGGTGCCTTATCAATACTTTTCTACAGTAGACCAACTTCAAGCAAATGTAGTGGTTGTTTCTTGAGTAGGGGTCCTAGTACTCTGTTGTTACTGACCTCATCAGTTGACTTCTTTCTAAGCTTTCCTTTTTAGGTAAGGGTATTCAGAAATTGTGGTGAAGTAACTTTTGATGTCATCAGAAGTCTACTGCTTTATTTTATTCTTTTGGGCAGAGACTGTAAGAATGATTATGATTTTCTAGCCATCAACAGCAATCACATGCTCATGCTGTTATATTAAAAACTGCCACCATTATTTGCTATGACTGATTAAAAAGTTTTTGCTAAAACACCTGTAGATTCCAGCTTTGACTTTTGTTTTGAAACTTTATTGTGACATTACTACTATGTCCTGATGACTGTCTCTGATACAGTTCTACAGAGGTCTGTGATTTTTACTTTTCTGCTCAATGCATATTATGATATTCTTGGGAGTATAATCTGATCATACCTACTTGTCTCTGGTATAGTGCTTATTGAGAATTTTGAATGCTTTTGTTAAATATCAGTGGTGCAGTGTGTGATTTTTAGCATTGAACACAGGTGAAGATTTGAGTGAAAAGAAATTGCCTGAGGCTTAGTTCATATTGGACATTTAGAATACATGAGAAGATAACGGTATTTGTCCCTGTTGTCGAGTATATCAAGTCTTCATGAAACTCAAGTTCTCTGTTGAAGACTGTTAGCAGAATTCTTTCTTTTCTCCACCAGGTACTGCTGGAGGCTAGCAAACTGCTTATTTTTACCTGTACCATGCAAGATGGTTAAAACTGCATTTGCATTTTATGGGTTTTACTATAGTTAGCTATCCTTCAATAAAATATTTCTTGAATCTTCAGAATAAATACATTTAGCTACTGAGAACTTAGAAATACAAAATCTTAGTTATGATTATCTGCTCCTTTGAATCTGTTTCCTTTGCTTTGGATTTCTAGGTATAATTCAAAATATTGGTAATATCTGATTAACCTTGAATATTCATTTGATTCCTTGGCTTGGGAGAAACCCTTTTTCTTTTAAAGTTGCATCTTGTCAGTTCGGGTGCTTTCACTGAAAGTGCTCCAGGCTCATGTTATACAAGGGATGTGTTTCTGTTAGAATCTCAGTAACTTGGTTCTGTCTTAGCTTACCTGCACCAGTCTGTTAAACCATTTGTCAGCCTTCATGGTGTCATCAGAGCTTCATTTTTTTTTTCCCCACTGATCCACCAGTGTGGGGAGAAGATGACTGTAAATAATAGTTCATTTTGTTGAAAGTCCTCTAATGTTAGTCTGAAGTGTAAACATGTATAGCTCTTCGTTTAGGTGGAGCAGGGAATAAGTAATGTCTACCTAGATGAAGGCAGACCCCCACACCACTGTGTTACAGTGGCTATGAAAGGGAAAGGATAGCAGATTTCAGTGAGGTTTACACATTCTTTAAGAGCAGAATAACATTTATTGTTTGAGTTCATATGAGGAGACTGAGGAGAGAAGTTAAACCACTGACTTCTGCTTGGGTATTATACATAATGGATGCTTATATATGATCTTCCACTTAAAAATGTTTAATAAAAGCATATGAATGTTTATGTTGTTAAGAATGCTCTCCAGAAAGATACTCTGGTTTTTATCTTAACGACTGTTTTATTTTGCTCTGAAACTAAACCTTAAAAAATAAAAAAGGATAAGAAGAAAAAAAAAAAAGAGAGAATCTTATGTATTTACAAACAATGTAACCTCTTCTGAACAGGTGTGACACCACAGAAAAACTAAAAGCTCTATTGCCAAGACTGGAACAAGAGCTAAAGGATCCAATAAAGTTCAAAGATTTTTATCAGTTTACTTTTAACTTTGCTAAGAATCCTGGACAAAAAGGTCTAGGTAAGTAGAAAACAATTGAGAAAGTATCTACAGCCAGTGAAGTCAATTCCAAATAGTTAATATAATACAGTTTTCTCATTAGTGATTGTGTAGTAAATTCGTTATTGATTTATTTTACTGTCTTTTTCTCATCTTCTTGCAATTAATCTCTTCTTTAATGTCCCCTTGGTACAGATAATTTAATGGTGTTTTCTGATAGTATTGACATTCTTTCTCCTCTTGTCAAAGGAATTTCCTGCAGGTCTTACAGACCTGTCATAATTTCTTTCAAAGACTGAGCTAGTGAGCTCCTGGTATTTTCTGTTTTATTCACAACAACTGAAACAAGATTTCTGTATCAGCTAAAAAGAGGGATAAAACGGAGCGAAAGTTACTGCTCTTCTAAGACTTTTTAGGTTTAGCTCACAGTTTTCATGTAAAGTTTAGGAAAATAACATTATGGTCTTAGTTCAAAGCTGGTGAATAGAAATAGGCGTGCAGTTTATGAAATATTAAACTGTTATTCTTTATAAAGTTTGAGATGTGTCCCATTCCTCGTATTGCTGGAGTAAAATGGATGTGTTGTTTAAATTCTAATATTTTCTTCAAATCAAAAATATCTATAGCTTTTGAATAGATGAAGAAAATTGTAAGATGAAATCTGTTAGCCCTTCATAACTTATATCCATTTCTGAAAGACACTGTGAGGGAAGGAATTAACCTGTTCTGTGTGTAGAATAGAGCCTTACCATCATCAGTGTTCTCTTTAGGTTATGGGTGAGAAGAGCAAGTGTTCTGAGAAGGGTTTTTTATTGGTTTTGGTTTGATGGTTTTTTTCTGTGGTTTGGTTTTTTTCGTCATAGCCTCTTCAACTTTGTGTCTGTTACTTGGCAAGCACGTTAATAAATACTTCTTCTCAAAAACTATTAGAAGAGTAGTGAGATGGAGGATGAGAATATTTATTTTAGAGGTTCGTAATCAGAGGCTTCCGTTCCACGTTCTTCCTTGGGAATTACTTTGAATAATATCTCTTTCCCAATATCTTTTTTTCTTTTGAACAGTGGGCAGCTTTTAGCCAGTTTCCATTTTTCTTTATTTTTTTGCAACAATTTCATTTTTCATTCCATGTCACTCTCACGGGTCGCATGTCACCTTTCCATACACAAAAAAAAAAAAGAAATTGTCCTATAGTGGTTCTGTGAGGCTGGTTGTAATTGAAGTGCCTTAGCTAGTTGTTCTTGCCTCTCTTCATTACAAAGCCTAGTACTTTCAGACTGGAAAAGGTAAGTCATTCACAGCTGAGGCTGGAATTTATGGGATACCTAAAGAAATATTACAAATGTCTTCCTGTTTTAATTGGATCAGTTCCAACATGAAACTCATGTACTTGGGAAATATGTCTCAAAAGCTTTTCACCTAAGCCTGTACAAAGAGAGGAGGAGGGAAGGCAGCCCAACCCAGGTTATGGAACCAAATGTACGGTTTGTTCGACATGAGGAGGAAAAAGGGAACTTAGTTGGTTTCCATTACTTCTGGTTTTGGTATGGAGGCCCTTTCATTTGTAAGACTGTCTTCTTTGTTGTGTAAGAATGGTACTTTTTGGCAACAAAACAGCTAAGTGTCTTCTTGCAGTAAGATTTGAAGTATTAGTGGGAGAAAAAAAGTGCAAAAATTAAAGTTTAATACAAACTATAGAAAAAGTTGATTTGAACGGTTGCTGGTTTCACTTTTCAGGAATTTTAATAACTCCGGTAATACTGTTTCTTAATCTCAATAGCGCTTAGTCTTACATGGCAGTATTTTGGTGACATTTTTCATCAGACTTCTTCCTGTTTTGCTAAGAAGGTTCCAGATATTAAATAAATACAAGTGCCACTGCTGTTATTTCAGTGGAGATACACCATGTTTGTCTGATGTGAACTTGGATCACTATAGGTCAAGTAGAAAGAGAGTGCTGAACAAACATATTGAGTAATATGATATTTCTGAGTGATTGAAATCAGTGATAGCTTATCCAAATAAAAGCTAACACTGTATACTTTTGCAGCCGGCATCTTTTCAGGGAATGCCATTATATTCAGGGAGCAGAGAAATGGGGGAAAAAAAAATGTTTATAGGTTGGCATTTACAACTAACTGCTTCCTGCTGCAATTATTTTAAGAGTTATGTTTGTTCTCTTTCAGCAAAAAAAAATTTTCAGCAAGGAAAAAAATTCAGTTATCTTACAGGGGTGTCTGTATGAGCTGAGTTGCTTCAGCTGCATTTAATAGAGGCTTAGGTGTCTTTTTATTTTACCTTCTCTTCTCTTCTCTGTATACCCTGTGTTATTTTCTCCTAGAATGACAAACTGCCTGTCTTCTTCTCTCAAAAGGTGTTTGGTATTTGTGTCCCAGTGGCTATGTGCCCTATTGTCAAGTAGATGCAGGAATTCATTTCATCCACGTACAAAGTCTCTCTCGCTAAGTGCGGAGCCTTGGCTCAGCATGCTTTTATGAATTCAGTCCAGATAGTTAAACAGAATGTATAATTAGATATGTTACCAAATGAGCTGGTATAAATCTCTGCCTAGCTCTGTCTAGGTCATTTTCAGATACTGACCTCTCCTCCTTCCCCCCCCGGTGCACGTCAGATGAACTTCCAGTGCTACCCAAGTGTGGGATGCTACTAAGCTACTGCCCTAGCTGCTTGTCTTAAAAATGTTTCTGGTGACATGCTCTCATTATAAGGCTTTTGCATACTCATTCTTGTGTGTTCACATTTGAATTATGACTTGATGACTGTGGGGTCAGTCAGTTTATGTCAAGTAGGGATAAAAGTGAATGCTTTTAATTAATGAAGTGGAAATAAAGGAATTTTCGTAACTTTCGATTACAAAATATTTTATTGAGTTTTTTCTGAGGTGTGAAGTGTCCAGTGCTTCCTCTTATTACACTCTAAGTCACCAAGTCTGGCAGTTATTGCATTTATTGTTTAGGGGAGTGATCTGTGGGCTAAAGGAATACTGATTGATTTCTCAAGTATACACACCACCTATTTGAAAACTAAGCAAACTTGACATGGTACTAGTGATAAATGGGCAATCCTTATTCATAGCAGATTGTTAATAAAAACTATTAAAATGGTCCTTCTGTTGGATCCTTCAGGCTAAGTGCTAATGCATCCTTCTTTTTTTTTAGTAGAAAAATGTCTGGGATAGGCAGAGGAGACTCATTTATGCAGTTATTTTTCATGTTTATTTAACATATTGAAACTGTAAGAAATTACTGAAATACCTCTAAAATGTCTAAGCAATGAGGCTTTGGTTATGAGTCATTTTTATTGCTCTATCAGTATTCTAATTTTTCAGATTACTTTTTTAATCTCTTTCTGCTGTTTTAAGAAGTGATAAGCAGGAGTTACTACTTCATTTTTGCCACATCCCCATGAAGAACATGAGGAAATGCAGTGATTCATGAGTTCCTTTTTAATATGCCAGGTGGTCTCTACATTTAAAAGATAAACACTTACATAGTGTGTTTCCTTGTGCCAGACAGGATCATTCCTCACAAATGTCTTTCTAACTAAGTGTTCAGTGGTATGCTAGTGATATACACTAACTTGCTTTTTCAAGTTATCAGCAAGATTTGATACCTGATTGGCAGTGGTCCTCTGACAGTTGGGGGGCCACCGCCTTCACATAATAACTTAAATTTCTGATGGCAGGTTTCATACATCTCTTCCATGCTTGCTCAAACCTAGTGTTAGATTATATTTTTTTTCTTTTCCTAGCATATAACTTAAACCTTTGTTCCTGAATTCTTCAGTTCAGTACTTACCCGTCCAGAGTATATGTGCAGAATGTTTCCTTGGAGTCAGTAACAACTTTTTGGCAAGTATGTATGTGCCTTCCCTTAATCTCTGGAGTGCGTAAAGCTGACTACCTTGATAAATTTTGTATTCCAGCTCTCTGATACTGCAATTGTATCTTCCAACTCTTTTTTGGTTGTTTTTTTTTTCCCTTCTGGGATCTTATTGTCTAACTTTCCCCTGTCTTGTAGTACCCAAACAAGCTAGATAAGCTTCCATGCGCCTTAAATATTTTGCTCCTTGATTTACATCCCATTATTACCTTGCTTATGTGCATAACACTGATACTGTCTGCAGTTTGTAATCTATTATGTTACAGCATTTCTGCAGAACTGCGGTGCACCCAGTTAATTTTGAATCCACAGTCAGTTATTCCCACTAGCTATATGACTTTGCATTGCATTTCTCTTTAATGAAATCTTTCCTATTTACTTCCAAGTGCTTTTCCAGTTTATCCAGATAACTTTGAATTCTAATCCTGGCCTCTACCACGCGGTACTCCTTCAGGCTTTGTGTAATTTGAAGATTTGATAGAAGTTTTCTTTGTTGTATCATCTGAGTTATTTAAATATTAGTGTTAGATACAGGACTGACCCTCATGGATGAGTTATTTTCTACCAGTTTGGCAGAGAAGCACTGAGGTTCTTCTAGAACCTCTTTGATCTCTGTGAATTCTCAAAGATGGTAGGTAGCAATTTGAGGTTTCTTTAGTACACTGGGATGAATTTCACCATGTCTATCTTCACTTTGGGCACCAGTGCTTTCAGACTGAATTCCTAAAAGTTGTTTCTGAGAATCCTGTCCATTTTCATTGAACCTTTTTGCCTGGAGCATATCTTGAAAATAATCTGTTTATCCCAAACATTTATCTTTCAGGAGTTAGCAGCAGGACATGTAGTATCTCTTATTACACCAGCTGCCACTTGTAAGGGAGGGAGTGGGAAAGCACAGAAACCCTTCTTAAAATGTGTTTTGGTGGTACTCCACACAGTCATCTTTGAGATGCAGGGGATTTTGCTCCAGGAAAGCATTCCGGACGGATGTGTGTGTGTGCGTGTGCAATTTTGTGTTTTATTTACCTTTAGAAGCCTGTCTTCCATTGCTTTTTAATTTCTTCTACTTCTACAGTTCTTCTCAAAACCAATACAAGAAATTCTGCCTTTATGTAATTAAAT